ATACACTGTTTGGATAAAGTTAAGGCTTTACCTCAGGTTGAAGAGTAAAGCCACACCTCAACTACAGCTCTGTCACCTGATTAGTCGCTTCATGCTCTGTTCTCCATCTATTTATCCTTTCCTCCTCCCTGCTCATCTTCTCTTCGCCCTTATTTCTTACATTTTTGTCACTTCTTACTCCTCACTGTGTTCTCTCTACCCCTTTTTCATCAATTACCCAGTCCAATTTACTTTAAAAAACCCTTCTCATCTACCTCTTTCTTCCATGTCTCGTTTTTTGGTCCACTTATCGACATCTGCCTCTATAACCACGTTTCTCTGTCATCTTTTTATCTCGTTTTCTTCTTATTTTTTTTTCTAAAAATCTATCTCATGGATATTAAAAGTAAATCCAAGTGGATTGTCAGCCCTGCCATTTATCCTTCTATCCTTTTTTTATGTTATGACACCATTCTTTATGCTCAATGGATAGGACTCATGTTCCATCCATCCATCCATCTTCCTCCGCTTATCCGGGGTCGGGTCGCGGGGCAGCAGCTTAAGAAGGGAGGCCCAGACTTCCCTCTCCCCAGCCACTTCTTCCAGCTCTTCAGGAGGAACCCCAAGGCGTTCCCAGGCCAGCCGAGAAACATAGTCTCTCCAGCGTGTCCTGGGTCTTCCCCGGGGCCTCCCCCCGGAGTCATGTTAAGGTGTATTATTATTGAGAATTTCCCCAACCCAACTCAACTAGTTAGGGTAGGGATTCAGCCATCCTATCTCCCTCCTACTAGTGTTGTCACGATACTAAACTTTTCAACTCGATACCGGTACTAAGTAAAGTATTTGATACTCGATACCCTTTTCGATACCACAAGAATAAAAACAAAGACTCTAAATTTCAACAGAAATATTTTCATTACTAAAAATATACAAGAAAGAAATAAAAAACAATAAGAATAATATTTTGAGGTTGTATGCTGTGCACAATATTAAGCATGCTTGATAAAAAAACGTACAAAATTAAAATTTTTCCTTCCTTGCATGTTTTGCAGATGTTTTTCAGTCTGAAACTGAAAAATGCACAGAATTATTCAATCACACAGTGTTCAGAAAGTGCATTTCCTACTATTCTGCATTTTAGATGGCTGTATCGATACTTTTGAAAATGAGTATTGTATCCGGATACAACGTTTCAGAATCGATACTTTTTTGAGAATCGATACTTTTGACAACCCTACCTCCTCCCCTCCCTCCGCAAAGCCGTGGGGGGCTCTGTCATCTGTCAACTGGACAAGGCAAGGTAAACCCCGGACAGGTCACTGGTTCTTATAGTGTATCCTTATAATCTCTCTGACAGCCAAGAGTAGGTTTGGTAAGGGCCTGTAATTTCCTAAGACATCTCACTCCTTTCTAGTCTAATGGCCTTGGGGCTTTCTGACTATTAGTTTTCAAGTTTGATTCATCGCAAAGCCATCCAGCATCCTTGACAGCCTAAGAAAAGTATTCTAGATAAACGGTAGGAGGAGGAAGGTCATGGAAAATGGGTTTTGGATGGTTTTGATAGTGGGTCCTTCTGTGAGTCCATTTCATGTTGAGAGGGGGATGATTTGTTGAAGGTTTAAATGGATCCATAGCCATCGTAAAAACCTGTCATCAGTCATCGAGTGCTATGCTCAGCAGGCAGCTTTAGAAATGATCCAACTTTTTTACCCCGCTTTACAGTACTGTTGAAATTATGAACCCCCTTTCAGATTTATTTGTTACCCTTTTTTGACACGGTCGGAGGCTGTCAAGGCTGTGTGTGTGTGCCCACAGATGGATTATTATTTATAGTGCACTTTACAGAATATGCACTTTTACATGCGCATCCTCTAGATTTGAATACTGACTTAAAGCTTATCTGCTTAGTAGATTTTTCTCTCCTAGATGAATCAAATTCAGGAGCTGCTACATTCTACGTTTCTTTCAAAAGGCTTACTCCTGGGACAATGCTCTCTTTTCTCAGACCAACAGACGGAAATAGCAAAATGCCATTCATGCTGAGCTTGGTTTTGCTGGAGGTTTTCTGTCAGAAGGAAGTATTTCTCTCTACTGTTCCTACATTAATATTTAGGAGACTGCTGCACAGTCAATGGCAAAGTTCAAGCAACTGTCCACTGTCACTACAGTACTTGTTTATTCAAGAGGTGGGAATTCTGTAAATTGATGCAGTCTTTCTTCAGAAAGAGAACAGTTCAACCAAAGAATCTTATTGTCTGAGTGTATGATTAGATTAAATGGCGCTGTAAAGTGCCTTGGGGTGACATGTTGTGAATTATCTATATATAACTGAACTGAAATGTTATGTCTTGGGGTAAACAGTGGAGCCAGGAATTCTGCTATCACCAGAAAATCCTGAAGGAGAATTCCCGACTTAAGCTAAAGCATACTCTGGTTATGCAGCAATCAGAGGCTTAGAAGAAAATGTACCTCTAAAAAAATATATATTTAAAGGAACACGTAGAAGTAGCCTTGTCAGAGGACATAATGGGCATAAATTAGAGGGAATTTAAAATCCTTCTCAAATATAAACACCAAAATGTACCTGTTGTCGGACAATAAAGGGATTTTCTATTCTATTCTATTCTATTCTATTCTATTCTATTCTATTCTATTCTATTCTATTCTATTCTATTCTATTCTATTCTATTCTATTCTATTCTATTCTATTCTATTCTATTCTATTCTATTCAAGGCCCTAAATAACCAAACCCCGTCTTATACCGGAGATATGATTGTTCCTTATGTTCCTAACAGAGCACTTCGCTCTCAATCTACAGGTTTATAGTGGTTCCTAGAATTTCTAAAAGTAGAATGGGAGGCAGATCTTTTAGTTATAAGGCTCCCCTCCTGTGGCACCAACTACCAGTTTTAGTTCGTGACACAGATACTCTGTCTGCTTTTAATGCAAGGCTTAAAACTTTCCTTTTTGATAAATCTTCTAGTTAAAAACAGAGTGATATCTTCTTGTCTCTTGTTGAGTATAGAGGTAGGTGGAGATCAAAAAAGGCCCGATCTGGTGGGGGAAAATTTCTGTCTGGACAGACGTTTCTTTTTGGCTCTACCTTGGCCCTACTGTGGCTCTACCTTTCTCATATCTCATCCAAAATAGTCAGTTATTCTGAGCTATTTTCTGTATTTATGCTGCTATATGTTTAGGCTGTTGGAGGGCATAGGGAACACTTTTCCTCATTCTACTTCATTCTATCTCTTTTCTCTCAATCCACAGTATTTGTTAAGTTCCACCCATAAATTTATTCTCTCTTCTTTTTCCTGTCATAGTAGCTTCATGTTTATAGATGTTGACTCTTGGCCTGTTTTCCAGTGTATTTCTGTTTCTCTTACTGTGACTATCTGTATGTGCCCTATTTGTTCTCTGACAAGAATTGGCTTGGAGATCGTCTGCCTGGTTGTCTTTCCCCGACGAGGCCGCCTGTGAAGCTGGTTGACAGTTGCCTTTTATATCTCTGCTTCATTCTCTGTGTCTGCTTCCGTGTCCTTGAACCAGTCTGCCTCAACAAATGGCCGCTCACACTGAGACTGGTTCTGCTGGAGGTTTATTACTGTAAAAAGGGAGCTTTTCCTCTCAACTGTTGCTACTTGCATGCTTGGTGTGAGGGATTGCTGAACTGTCTTCTACAAAATGCATGCGTAAATCATCACTGCAAGCTAACCCAGGAGGAGCATACCTTGCAAGTCAATGACTGGATGCATTTAACTGTTTTTTCTTGACAGAAACGCTTAACCAGTCATGCTGTTTTATCTCAGCAAAGTGCCTTGAGATGACATGTGTTGTGAATTGGAGCTATATGAATAAAAGCCCTTGGCCTCCAATTTAAGAGTTTTAAATTTGAGATTGATTAAGAATTTACACAGGGAGGCTAGAGTTTGGATTTTAGTCCCAGTTAAATGGTTTACCGTGATGTCTATAGATATTTGAAGCCTAGAAAACCATTTGAAGTGGTTGAATTTAGACAATTATGCATAGAGGACTTCCACCACCGAAATGATAAACATTTATTGCCAGTTAACGGTTTTTGCGGGCACCAAGATGAAATAACAAATTACTCTTTTAAATCAGATTTGGGTTACTTTTTTTTCCATATCAAATGAAATTAAGTATGAACACCACATTCATCCCTACCAGGTTTAACTGTGTCTGATAATAAGCGCTTTGTTTTGTAAAATGTAGGTGTGATAAAATGAAAGAAATAAAAGAATATAGGTGTTACTAAATCTATGTCCTAAACCTATGAGGCAAAAGGCCAAAATTATAGTTGACTGTCACAAATAAATCCAACTCTGAAGTCAAAAGTTAAAAAAAATGTAACTGTAAATTATTTTACTCACAAACTTAGCGAACAAATAAACTTTACATGAAAAGATAAAAAGACGTTAAAGTGAGAATGACTGTTATAGAAGAAGGCCTACTCAAAAATGAAATCTGTGTTTCCTGCTTGATTAATCTGTCAGCTGGAGTACTTGTGAAGATTATCCCTCTCAGAATGCAGGACTCTGACAGGACGAGAGGGTGGAGGATTAAATTTTGGTGAACAACAAAGTGAAGACGATGCTCAGAAGTTGCGCTCTGCTTTCATGCATTAAAACATGAACTACAATAAAGGGTGGAAGTGACACTGACAGATGACAGTGGTGAAGAGGTTGGGCTAGAAAACAGAGCTTTTTGCTTTAATCTGTCAGATAAAAGCATGAGGCATGAGCAGTCAATTGACTATCTTGATGGATGGTCAAAATGTATTATTACAGTACGGCATTCATCTTGGTGGCTTAAAAAGAAAAATGTTCAACAAAAGAACAATGATTGTAAAGAGTCTGACAAATAGTAAACACCCAAAGGTTTAAGTTCTGTTAATCACTCAGAATGTGTTGCTTTTTGTTGTTTTTTTCTTGTGTGTTTGTTTACCGGTATTAAAGGAACTTATTTCTATTCTTTCTCTGTTTCCTTTTTTTCAACTCTTTAGTGACGGAAGTCTGTCCACGAAACAGATCGTTTTCCTGCAGAGACCAGTCATGAGTCGGAAGAAGAGGGAATCAAAGGTACAACTGATCAGACTTTTTTGTATTTGTAAGATTTCTGCAACCCCCTACGATCAAAGCAACCATCTTATTCCTTCCATAACTACATTAGATCAGTCTAGCGTCTATAAACCTTTTTGGTTAAAACATAAAAACTCAGCTTTTGTCTTCTCCCTTTAACAGGAGTTTTGCTAACTGCATTATTGAAAGAGGAGATAAATTGATATATCAGCCAACTGAAAATGTTTTCCAGTGTTGGCATATCTTTTATTACGTCAGTATCAGCTGATACATGCATATATTCACTGATTCATCTGTGCAGCAGCCATGCCATGAGATCACATCCAAGTATTGCTGCTCCCTCCATTTTCTACATAATGCTATATATAGAGCAATACTGGCCTGAAGAATCGGCCCCAAAATTATTCATCAGCACATATCAATGTTCCATTAGATCGCTGTCAAATATATATATATATATATATATATATATATATATATATATATATATATATATATATATATATATATATATATATATATATATATATATATATATATATATTTGACAGCAATCTAAGACATAATTACTGGCATAATTGGTTCAGTAATTTTGTTACAGGCATATGACAGAGGACCCCAGTCAGCAAAAATCACAATGTGCAAAGGTCAGCAAACAATATTCCAAAGTTTTATCACATTGCCAGCTTTTGTTATGTTGACTGGAAGGGGTTGCGTTGTCTGTAATAACCCTAATTGTGCAAATCTATACACTGGTTGTCATGCGAGGCAACCAGTGACCTTTTGTCAGTTTTAGTGGTTCTGTGAAGTTACTGATCATGAAGTTTTTAGCTGCTAAAAGAAGAAGGACTCTCATTTTATGTAAAGTTCATAATGAAACCTACTGTGTGATGGAGGTGAGGCAACAATGACAGCAAAGTTCAAGACAAGTGACATCATTCTCTGTGCCTCTCCTGTAATAACAGAACTCAGGAGAGTCAACATTAGTCATGCAATCCTCTGGAAAACCTGTCAGGTCCACTAACCTTTCATTAATTTTACATCCATAAAAACATCTCAGACTTCCAACTCTGCCCTAATTTGCTTGATCTTGAAAATCACAAAATAATATATCACAGCTGAATGAATCCAGGGCCAGAACGGTGCAACGCCCTACACTGTCAGGCCTTTCATTGTACCCAAACCCTCAACTCTGTTATTAATCAGCCCACTAAAATATGATCACATGAACATGTTTCTATATTTATTTACTATTATTTGTTTCTCTCATAGCCAAAGCTTTGGTGAGCTATTCCAACTATTATTTACAGACACATCTGTCTCTAAAACTATAGTTTTCAGACCCATTTCCTACTAAAGGTGTGACTTCTAATCCTTCTGTCCATTATTCACCATTTAAAACCAGGATCATTTTTGTTCAGCTGTAATGCTGCAGGTGTTTTTTATATTTATGCAAATGAATACCTACAGTGACAAATTTAAGCCAGCATGTCCCTCTTTCAGATAAGAGGAATGCTTTAGCAACTGACAGCCATTTGGTGTAAATGCTTTTGATCTGATACCAGACTATTCTGATAACATCAGATGCTTACCTGTTTTAGTACTGAAGGGAATCCATGTTAATATTTGATGTGACCTTTGTATAAGGGTTAGAGTTGGGTTATGCAACAAAAAGTGCAGCCAAATAACTGAAAACAGGCTTTACAGCTCACTGCTATAGTGAGGCAAACTTTCTTAAGTCTGATGTCACAGACTGATAAATGTCCACAAAGGCTGTCTCACTGAAGACAGTCCTTGTCTTACCATCAGCCAAAATGGATGAGAACAGCCAGGTGTTTCTTCTTTTTTTCCCATATAGAAAATAAAAAATGTGCAAATATTTTTTGTTCAACAAAGAAAACAAGTTTGTGTTGGTTAAATAAAACTAAATAACTTTGTTTTTACAGAGATAAAAGGAACACGATAAGATTAAACAGCAGTGCATAAACATTTCTTAATGAGGAAGAGGAAGGGAATGTTATGGAATGTGCGCATTTTTTTTTACATTACTGTTTGCAAGAAGATATGCCATTTCATTAGGTTTTAGCCTGGTTGTTTGTTCAAACTGAGCTCCTCCAGGCCACCAATAATCACCCCACCCCCTCTCCGTGGCCCCAATTTCCTGCTCAGTTTTGTTTAGATTAGCAAGTTATTTCAACCGCTATGTTGCATTCTTAATTAAGTCTGTGTGTACTGCTTTGTGACCGTAAGTGTTACATAACTAACATGATACAAATGTTACAGAAACTAATCTTCAAGACCCGAAGCAAGTCTAACAAGAACTGCATCAAAGATTTGGCTAAAAACAAGAAGAAGAACACAATAAATGAAAAGGAATCAGAAGAGCTCAAGATTGCTGATGACAAAGAAAAAGCTGGAAAGGAAGGGGATGTGACTGTGGGTGAAAACACAAACGCGGAACAGGTGGAAGCAGCGGGTGAGTCCAAGAAAGAGAGGAAGATAAAGTGTGAGGAAGATACAAAGGCTGATGCAGGGATGGTAATCAGCATTGAGAAAGTCATAAGCAAAGATGGACCAGACAAGAAAGAGGACAAAGGAGCAGAACACTGCACCGGAGTGAGAGAGGACAGAGCTCCATATGGAAAGGGATCAGAAGAAAACGGAGAGCCTTTGGGAAAGGAGGAGGTCGAGAAGGTCACCGAAACAGTTGCGACTGTCGAAACACAGAAGGAGACCAAAGAAAAGGTGCTTGAGGGCACTTCGAAAGTTGAATGTGTGATAGAAAATGGGATAGAGACAGATGAAGAAAAAGATGACAACAGAGAGAATAAGATCAAAACAGAAGAATCCGTGGAGGTTATCGCCAAGGAGACTGTGGCAGATCCAACGCACACAAACCTAAATCCAGTAGAGCCTCAGGAGTAGCACCATGTGGTTCAATTTGAGCTTTTTCCCCACCCTACCTCTTAAATTCCCAATTTTAAAAACTGGCTAAAATATTATCCTGAATCCAAATCAAAGGGGAGTTTACTCCCCATTGCTGCAACATCCTTCAAACCCCAACTCTCATTACTGATTCCCCCAAAACCTGCAACAGTGTAGCTAAATGAATGAAGATCATGGCATCAGTCCTACTGTATAACCACACCTACTGAATGTAATTAGAAAAGAGCAAATGTGTGTGGAACTACTGGATACACTGGATGGAGGTAGACAGAGAACTCAGTCAGAATCAGAGAGAAAGTGATAAGAAAAAAAGTCTAAAAAAGACTCGGACATGGTTCCTGTAAAAGCAGCAGTTAAACCAGAGCTGTCAACTTGTTTGTTCACCTACTACACACTTACTATAGTGTTCACTATAGAGGACTTTGGCCAGTGAGCTGTCACTCCTGCTTAAGAGCTTTACCTGCAGGTTTAAAAACATGAAATATAAAAGGAAATCTTATTAAAGTATTTTCCTTTAGATTGAAAGCTAAATTCCATTCACCATGGTCTGAGATTTGGTTTTAAGTTTTTTTTCATTATGCTATGTTTAACAATGATAGGTGCCTCGACCCTGCTTCATCTTTATCAACCCTTAAGGAACATTTTAGAACCCAGTAACTCAAACTTTTTATTTAGATTCAGCTCAGATATAAGCAGTCTATACTTAAAGTTAGAGAAAATATATTTTGCCCATTTCTAGTGTGACCAGGTCTTTAAGCAGGCGAAAATTAGATGAAGTAATGTGGAGTATGACATCTCGAGGCGAAGGCATTTCTCTGGGTTTCTTTGGATATGTGGGGATTTCTTCACAAAAAAGCACCAGCGTGCTTCAAGAACCCTTTGAAACTGTGTCAAGACCCAAAGCTGCCTCCCTGAAGTTGAAGATACCATACAGTAAAGGGCAGACAGTTTGCAGAAAACGTCCTCCCTCTTAGTTTCTGATGCAGGATGCAAGGCAAATCCATAGGAGAGCGCTGGTAGAGGTGATGGGAAAGGCATTTGTTGCGACAGGCAATCCAAAGCAGGCTAAGGAGATCATTGTTTACGCTCAGCTCTAAGCCGTCAAGTGCTTCAAAGAGAGCCGATAATCACTCTTTGGTGTGGTGTGCTAAGCTTACCTTGCATACAGAATGTTCATAAGAATATTCCCAAGCTCAGTCAGACCGGAATGTAAAGTTCAGCTGAATGTTTGCACCTCAACGACAGGATCACTATTTAGGTTTACACTTTTTGCTTAACATACAGGGGAGAGGATTTCTGCGTAGAAACAAGGTTATTAAAAAAAGTGATCAGGGCTTGTCTTTGTTCGGTATGGAAGCCAGAAGTAAGGAGACTGTCAGACAAAGAAAGAGGTTATAATGAGAAGAAGGAGAAACTATAGAGCCTGAAAGACTGAACTACAAAAAGCAAATCGGCTAATTTAGAGACAACAGTCTTTTTCAACAGCAGCGCTTTCTTTCATTGCTTTTCCCCGACCTGTTAATGCACCTCTTACTGGACACAGTTTCTGACATTAACTGAGTCATAATGTGCTGTTTTGTGGCACAGTGTGTCTTTCCATTTTAGAGGTGGAACAAGAGGATATGTGAAGGCAGCGATTATGGAGCGGGGCTCTCTGCGGATCGCTAATGGATTTTGTCAGTGGGGGATCTTTCAGTAATCATGCATTTCTAATGGGGGGTCACTTGTTGGTGGAGTTATTGACAACAAAACACCTCAGTATGTCAAGTTTCACGTTTAACAAGGATGTCATGGGGATCCATGTCCACTGGAGAGGACAGGATTCATTTAGAAAAGGACCCACATCTCATTTAATACCTGTTTTTTTAAACCGTTAGCATTTGGCTGATGAAAGTACCTGCTGACATCGTACAATTTGTCACAATTATCATTCTTGTGTTCTGATAATATATATATGTGGCTCAGAAAAGTATTTCTTCTCTGGAGAAGAAACTACACAATTTCAAGTGCTCTCCTGCCTCCAGTGAGATTCCTTTCAATGTAAAATGGCAAATGTTTTGTGTAGAGTAGAATATAAAACTGTGACCAGTTTAGCCTTATTACTATACTGTAAATGGCCCAGAATCTGCTTTAGATTTTTTTTTTTCGCAGAATATTGGTGATTTAAATGTTATATGTTTGTTATGGTCAAACAGCAAAGTGTTTCTCCTGTTGGTGTTTGAGGATTTTATTCCTGGAGGTAAAAGTGATGGGTTCAAATGTTTGTCCATATCAACTTATTATGTTTTGTATTCATTTCTGACATCTCTTTATTATGAATGTTTCAAATTCAAGTGAAAAAGACTTCTTTGTTGCCTCTGCGTCTTCTGCTATAGCTTGCAAAATTGCTTTGCTGACTGGTGCTTTGAGCAACTTCCTCAGGGCTGATGTTGGCATTGAGTTGAGAGGTCGCCATAAGTGTGACCTCTAGAAACATATGCTCCTGTCCGGCTGCACTCCAATTTGAAGGAGACTGGAACTGTGAGTATAAGGTCACCTCTAATGGCAGCCAAGGTCAAAGGTTATGAGTGAGAATGGATTTTTCTCACTTGTACTAACAGACTGCAAGAGCACATCAAAGCTGATAACTAACCCTGATATTAAATGAATATACTTTGCATCGTTTTAAGCTGATTTAGGTTTATGACACACTTTTGTTCCATTTATTCTAAATATAATACACATGAATTAGGGAGGAAAGACTTTGAGTTGTCCTTATCTTGCGTAACAAAATATAACATTGATGTAATGTTGCATCTCTCTAAATTAATATATGGTTATAATTTTATTTTTGTTTTATTAATTCAGTTAATCTAAGTAAAACTTGTATGGATTTATTATCCACAGAGTAATTCTTTAAATGTTTTTGCTTTTAGTTCTGCTCTCCTTGATGATTATGGCCTAATAATTAATTAGTATATTACTGTAACTAAGAGCAATAACAAGATGTTTTTAGTACCATGTTTTACTTTTGGAAAAGTCCATGCATGTGCGTTAATGTAGCTATTTTTGCCTGAATTGCTGCTTTTTTCTTGCATTACAGCAGTGGGACAGCAGGATGATCAGTGCAGTTCTGCTGAGATGATAAGGAAGCCTAAGTTTTAGGAGGTCTATTTTGATCAGTCAGGTGTCTAATATTCTTCCTCTCAGGAAAATCCTATAGATTTTCTGTGGGGCTCATGTTAAGTTACTTTGCTGGGCATATGAGCACAGTGGACACTGTGGTTCATCGGAGCAGATATCTGGTACTTTTGGAAGGGAAAGGAACAAATTCCTGCAGGAAAGTATAATCCCCATCTCCATACAGCTTGGCATTTCCTGACTTTGGTAAAGAAAAATATATAGTGAGCCAACAACAGCAGGCAACAACCCTGAATCAACCTGACTGTAAAACTTTACATTGGACCTCAGTTAACTTGCATTCTGTATCTTTTCACTGTTCCTGTGGTCTCTGGAACATTTCCAGTCTGAATTTATACAGACTTGATTTAATTTATACAGCAAAGAGGGGCAATAAAAGCCAGAGATCACTGAAGAAGTCCGATTTGGCTTTTTCTTCTTTTTTTTTTTCATTCAGATATTATATCCAGATATACTTTTGGTACATATAATACAATTTAGATGCATGGTAAGAAGTTAATTTAACTATTTGATTCAGGTGTTCCAGAGACAACTCCAAACAAAGCAGGACACCAGACCCTTCAGATTAGATTTGAAAACTACTGGGATATAATGCAATATCTATATTTTCTGAGAAATAATGTTTTGTGTTTTCCTTAACTTCAATACTAGATCATCTCAAGAGACAGAAAGAAATGCTTAACATTACTCTGTGTATAATGAATCTATCCATGATATCTTTTTATTATACTGTTATTATTGAGAATTAAATGGCTGTTAATTCGTCTCAGTGCTTCTGCCTTCTTTGGTTTTATGTGTCTAACAATCTTTGAGGCATGTCTAAAACATTCCCATTTGGCTTTCTGGGAGTAAGACGGACCAAATATCACTACCTAAGCAATATCTGGATGATAAATTACAATGAGATAAGCCTCTATGACATGACCGTCTTTCATTCCAACCTGGGCGGAGAACCCAGCACTGTTTCATTCGGTACCTGAGCCCTTCATGGTACCAGCTCTCCTCAAAATGCACTTACTCTATAGATTGCAGCACAGTCTAACTGCATAAATATGCTCAAGGAACTGAGGGTAATTGGAGTTTTCCTTTTAATATGTTTGCTTAGTATTATGTTAACAGACAGGGAGAGAAAAGTGGGGCAGAATCCAACATTTAATCAGTTAAAAGACGTAAACCGTGTTAACTGCCATGTGAGAATAAAAAAGGAGCTTTGACTGCTGCTGGAGTCAAATATACATCTGTGCTGCCTCCACTTATAGTATTTGTGAGCTTGCTGTCTTATATCAGCATAAATGTCTCTGAGCCTGAGTAGTGGCGCTGGTGCAATCGCTCTTGGTAATGCTATCCAAAATGCTATGGTTCATTTCCTGTGTGCTACAATGATGTAAAATGGACAAAGTAGAAACAACAGAACATGACACAATAGAATGAAGTCACTTTTTTTTTTCTCCTGTGTTGTCACTTTAGCTTTGCTCACCGCCTCTGCTAAATGTATTTTTTTTTCTCTGATGTATTATTTTATCACCTCAACTGCCATCATGAATGTTAAGTATCTTCGATCATGTGCTGTTGTCACTTGCGTTGATGTAGAAAAAGTGTTCTTTATCTTTCCTATTCTGGGTATGACAACATTCCTACTGTTCCTGACATCTGTACAATTTGTATATTATAAAATGATTTATATTTAATGTGTATGTGTGTCCTCATTTCGTTTTTGTCTCAGAAGCAAAAGTCAGGTTTATTTGTAGTTTGGGTTATTACAAACAGAAGGAAAAGCAAACAAAAAGCCAGTTTTGACCAGAGAGGGGTTACACTTTAATTGTAAGGTCAGCCGTTGTTCATCGTTAATATGCAGGATTATGGCTGAGAGAAAATCGCTTTGGCTTTGATCAACTTCAGAAAAGTCTGAATCTCCTTGCAGATTTCCATAAATAAGTAAATTATAGCGTAATGCTAAAAAAATCAAACCCTGTAAATAGTTACTGCTCTTTTCATGCAGACTATAGTTTCCTCTAAAATGGTCACAAATGGAGATTTTTTTTTATTTTCAAAGTAGGTTTTGGGCATCCATTCAGAGCTGCAGTTTTTCAAGGGGTCCTGCTTTATCAGTGAAACTTTCACTACTTATAATTAGCCTGCACTTGATCACCTGATTAGTATTTCTAATAGTCATTTTAAAGATATGTTCTGACTAAAGGGCTTTCTGAATGTTTGGAGCATCTTATGCGTTAATTAAACGGATTCCCTCAAATGTTTCTTTCTGCATTCAACATATTTTTCGTTAATTTTATTGACTGAGCAGGATGGATGATCCTTGGATTTCAGTTTTCTAAAGTCATAGGGAAGCGGCTGTTCCAACGGTTGCACTTCCGAATTCTCCAGAGTGGTGCCCAACTTTAAAATGAGTGAATAAGGTGAATGTGATTGGTCGATTATCAAGGGGGTGGGATTGTTGTGGTGGAAGGTTCGCAAGCAAGTTTGGTTGAGGCCGGTTTGTTGGAAGCATCTTGCTAACCAGTTAGCAACTTAGTGCTAGTAGGTTCCCCATGGGAAATTCCATTGGAACCAAGTAGCACTGAATTGGTGAGTTAGAAACGACACTGTCAAGAAACGCTATGGACAGCAGAAACATGCAAGAGGAGGAGAGCTTTGTGTCAGAGGTCGTGGATGAGTCTCCTCTGTCATACATTTTTTATCTAGAGGAGGAAAGCGGGGACAAAGTTGTTGTGGAAGAGGATGCCAGGGCGGCAGATTCTTTGGTGTAGAAGGCTTACAGCCGTACATGTTTGAGCCCTTGTTTCACAACGCTGCCAGTTCTGTTAGCTCTACGCCTGCCGAAGACACAGATGTCCATCCCTGTGAACACTGGGACGGAACTCAATGGTAAAAAAACTTATTCTAATTTCTACCGTTGCATATATTAGCTGCGACATATGAATCAAGGTGCTATGACCGAAAAAGTTGGATTGACAGATGACCGTTGATATATGATTGGCCGAATTTAGGTGTTCAGGCTGATAAGATAACGAGAAGAAAAAACACAGATTTTAAGACAGGATCTTTTTAAAAATAGACATTTTCTAACTTTTGGGACAATATAGTCTGATAAAGAGTACATTTATATAGGTGTTTAAGCTAGAATGATTTGACGCTTAAATATGACTTCCCTACGACTTTAAGACAAGCTTTTGCTTTTAGACCCCTTCACAAGATGCCTGTTTGTTAGATGTCCAAGTTACTGCTTTCAGATAACAGCTCTCCACTTCCTCCCTCATTGTGGAGCAAGCAGCATGTGAATCTTTCACCTGTTAAATTCAAATATACAGTATATCCTTGCTATCACTGTTTTTCATAGAGTTCCCTTCTCCCTATGTTTCACCTTTTGGAAACTTCAACCTTATATGTTTTGATGTATTTCTATCCTATGGAAATAAAATAGAGGGGCTGCATGGTGGAGCAACGGGTAGCACTGTTGCCTTGCAGCAAGAAGGTTCTGGGTTTCATTCCCGGCCCAGGCTCTTTCTGCATGGAGTTTGCATGTTCTCCCCGTTCAGGTGTGGGTTCTCTCCAGGTACTCCGGCTTCCTCCCACAGTCCAAAATCATGACTGTTAGGTTAATTGGCTTCTCTAAATTGTCCTTAGGTCTTTGTGTGTGCATGTGCATGGTTGTGTGTCTTTGTGTGTCTCTGTGTTGCCCTGCGACAGACTGGCGACCTGTCCAGGGTATAACTGCCTCTTACCCATAGACTGCCAGAGATAGGCACCGGCCCCAATTCGACCCTGAAACTGATAAAGCAGGGAAGGATGGATGGATGGACGGATGGATCGATGGATGGACGGACGGTCTCTACTGTTAGCAATGGTCCTAAAGAAAAAAAGAAAAAATTCGCAGTTATAGATGACATATGTACTTAATTAAGATAGATCCGTTTATGAGTTTTTTAAAGCTACAGTGTGTAACTTTTAGCGACATCTAGCGGTCAGACTGCAGCCTGCAGCAACATGAACATCTCCCCCTACCGCTTCTCCCCTCCAACAGTACGGCGAGCGTTACGGGACAAAAAGTCTTCCACGACGTCCACATCACCTTCCTTCTCAAGTGATGAGGTTTGTTTACATAGATAATTTTACAGATAGTATTTCATTAGTCTGTGTACGGTATAGATTTCATGTAGACTTAAGATAATAAATATACCCGTTATTTTTTCTACATCGTTGTGACGTTTTGGCGATCTCGCAATCGCTAGTTTGTTGGCTCTGCGCTGCCTTGGCGCAAAGATGTCTGCCTCCATGGCTACGAGACCCGCTCCTATGTAATTATAAATAACGAATTCTAAGGCAACGCAAATATTAAGGTTAAGAGGCTGAGCTCGTAGATGATGATAAATAACATAGTTATGTATAATATATTACATTTCTGACTGTATATCCCTGTAATTATTACACACTGTAGCTTTAAGTCCTAAACTGCCTTGCCCCAAACACCTGTAACACAGCTGCAGTAACAAACTTTTTAACTAAACAAATAGCACTGGCTTGCATAGCCACTAACAGGTAGCCTGGTGCCTGAGCTAAACTAAGAGGAAATCATTCTGCCTGTATCACTTGAAACTAAAACAATGCTCAGATTTATGTAATCTCCAGGTAAAAAAAATAACATTCATATTTTTTAAGTCTTATGCCTTAGGCTGAAATGATGCATAATCCAGCACAAGGACAGGAGATTGTCATAAAAATAAGATAAGTGGCAACCACATTTCTCCGAGAACAAACGAACAGAAGACGATTCCAATGGAGAGGTTAGACTTATGAACCCAAATAATCATTTTCTCTGAGCGGAAAGATTTTTCTTTCAGATTTGCTCCATCTGGTTATTACCTTCATTACCATTTGAACCTCAGAATACATCAACTTAATAGTTATTTTTCCACAACACAACAATCTAATTTTCCCCACTCTCACATCAAAACAATGCCCTTTAGGCCCTGCGCTGACCCCAATGCATCAATATTTCACGTGAAAACACAAAGACGCATCATAATATCCCTGTTGTGTTTATGAGCTACATTGTATTTACAGTTGGTTCAACACAGCTGGTGTGATCTATAAGCCACGAGCTGTGAGCCCAAGGGAGTTTAAGGTCATTAAGGAGATAGCTTTGCCTCCAACCAAAACACCAAACACCAGAGCCATTCTGTTCACTACAGGAAGCATTAATGCCTCTTTAGGCAGACCGGTGAGCCACTGGAGAGTTGCTAAGGGATGGTCAGAAACACCATGAGCCTGTGGTTTGGGATATTAAACTCATGACCCTGGGCAATTTCATCTTCATGGTTCCACTCTGAGACCCAGAGGTAATGTTATTCAATGCTTTTCTAAGGGCAGGTTGGTTTGAATAATGAAATTTACTTGCAAGAAAAAGAAGTATTTTTATGACTACAGTGTTCAGGCAGTAGCAGGGTTTTAATCAAAACAAACTCTGTAGGGCTCTGAGCACAGATGGGTCATCAGGTCCAGTAAGAGTTGGTGCTTAAGCTTCTCTGCTTGGTACTAACTTAAAATCAGAGATCTGGAGACATCTGCATACATTTTCCTGCCAGGTGAGACTGTCTGGTTTGGACTTTTGCTTGATTCAGTGCTGCCATCTAGTGACAGCTCTAGACTTTCAGTATATTACTGCTGTTTACATGAAAAATAAATAATATAATTAAAACTATTGTTTTTTTTTTAGGTTAGCACAAAATGAAAAATACTCATTGAAACGTTGACTGTCAAAAAACATTTCTAATCTATGAGTTCTTTTTCAAAATACTGTAATGTTGATAAGGGAAAAGAACATAAACAAAACTTTTGCAAAAAAATGTTCAGCAATCTTTATTTGGTAAGTTTTATGCATTCCTATTAGCTACTGTAGATATTATTACTATTATTATTATTGAACAATAATGATTGTTATTATTTTTATAATAGTAACATTACTGTTCAGTAATAAGTAAGGAGGCATTTTGAGTCCCTGGTTACTAGGGAAAAATATAAAACTAAAATATAAATATTTCATATGGTTTGGCTTCTCTGACTACCTAAATTGTCCCTATTGGACTCCTTGTCAAATTATTCAATTGATATTCTTACAAAATGGAAATCAAAAGACATAAGCAGAGGAAATGTTTTATAAAAGGGAAAAAAATCTACTAAATGTTTAGTATCATTCACTTAGACAAATTAGAGTTCTAATTAAAAAATTTGAATATATCAACTGAGGAAAAAAGGCTATTGATGCAAGCTGTTGGCTTATATTGAAAGTTGTTTTTTCATATTTTCACCTTTATTAGTTTTTTATGTGAGGTGAGTTTCAATGCTCTCTTTACCATCTTTCATTATTCAGTACAACAGGACTGAAAAAAAAGTATTTCTTGATTTAAAGCAGGTTTTGATCAAAAATTAACAACAATTATGGACTCTTACTTCTCTTAAGCAAAAAGTAAACAGCGAATAGACTTCAGCTTATTTATAACCTTCAAAAACCTCTTATCCAAGCAACATTATAATCTTTATTCTTCCACGAGGGCCAAGAAGTGCACTTAAGCCTCCGTCTCCTGTCCGTGAGCTCGGAAGTTTAATATGAGGTCAGCATCAGGGCAATTATCATCACCGCTAAGGGGCACTGCAGCTGTACGTCAAAGACCACAATCACTTTTCCTTGACTTGCAGAATCTTTGAAAAGCCATTACCTCATGGTTAGATAACATCCTCAACTTCTCCCCCCCGACCCTGTGCACACACTTTGTTAGCCGATTAACTCCACACAGATTAATTAGCACCATTACCTCTGTGTTTTCCAGTCGGTGTCTTATCATCCTCTGTCAGGCCTTAAATTGTAAATTAATTAACACCAACTCTCTTGTCATTTAGTAATTACCTCAGCAGCAGCAGCAGAAGATCAGCAAAAGGCTTACATCAGCACCTACCGCTGCTTCTGACTTTACAGAGAACTCATTGGTTCACTGGACAGTTTGTGATAATACTGTCATACTGTTGACCTGGAGAAGAGCTTATTAGTTCACAATATTGTAGCCTGCTTTTTATCATTATGATCAATTAAAGAGGCTAGATCAGGATACTAATGTATTTTTCTACAATAGTATCATGTAAAAAAAAAAGCAACAAAAAAAAACAAACAGATATTTTGGAAAATATGACACAAAAATAGCGACTAAAATTTTTCTTTATTAGTCTTGATCTTTGTGTTGAAGGTGTCACAGGTGATCTGGAGTTGGCTGATCACTGGGAAATAGCAGAAATGCCCATTAGTATCACAAACAAATTACATTGGTTAAAAGTTAAACATTACATTTTGTGCATTAAATCAGAATGTAGAACACCCTGGTTTATTTTAACTCTGTCTATACTTACCAATTAAATCGTATTTGAGTCGTTTATCAGAATATTGGTCCAAATCCTTCTTTTTTTAGTATTTTCTTTTTTTCAGGCTCATTTCAGGGGTTTTCATGCATAAACAATACTTTTAAGAGCTTGTCAGAGCAGCTGGATTGGATTTATGTTCAGACTTTATTTAGATCAATCTAAAAACTTTTTAAAATTATAAAACCTACATGTTAATCTGGTAAAACTTCTGTGTTAGAATAAGCAAAAAAACATAAATAATGGGTGAGGGAGCATCCATATTTCACTGTGCTATTTTGCTAATGATGATTTGTGCACTAATTTCCAACAAATAATAGCAATAAAGTGTGTTTAAAGTTTCCTTGGTGTCCTAATATTAGATCACCTTTATAGCTCTAACAAGGATCTTTGCAATAACACTTGTGGTACAATTATGAGTAAATAAACATGTGAATGTGACCAAGGAATGAGTTCACATTCTTAAACTGGAAAACAATAGAAGTGCAATGACTCCAGTAAACCAGAAATAACCCTGGCAATTCTAAAATGTGCAGATGAGTTTTAGGGTTTCCTTTAAACACACCTGCTGAGATTTGTCACAGCAGAAGAACCGGACATCATTCAGAGAGGAGTCGTCCAGAGCCCACTGGTATTCTTCCATCTTGGTCTCTATGCCACAGATTCCTCCATTGGTGCAGTCCTCACTCCAGAAGCCGTACTCACCCCAGGTCATGCCGGGTGCCTCCAGCGTGGGGTTGCTGCTGCAGCGGAACTTGATGTTGTTGACTGTCGTGTCATCTCCCAGTATACCCTGATGGGGCTCCACGCGGATCTGGAAGGATGTCAGCACCCCGCTGGGACAGTACTGAGGATGGGACCACTCACCAAAACTGGACAGAAAGTTATTAAATGGAGGAACTTACATTTAGAAAAGCAAGTCAAAATTTTAAGAAACGTGTAATTTTATAAATCCCTAAACATTCGGATCATCAGCCAGTCTTCTATTGATCTTTCTAAACAATAAAGAATTTATCTTTAAAACCCCAACACTGGCTTTTTGAAATAAAAGTAAGCACAATAAAAATGGGCTAAATTAACCCAACATTTTTCACATCCAAAGACAAGAATTAGTGAAATGCATCTTCCATTTAGACAACCACATTGCATTTTTACCTGCATTTTCCAATCACGGTTCTAAACATCTAAATCCTGACTATATTTAATCTTATGATCTAAAGTTGTTCTTATTAAAAAGTCAAATCTTGATATATGAAGCAATCATATTAATTGGTTTTATTAATGTTGTTAACGGTTCTGTTCAAATTCAAGAAAGATTAGTTAGTAGATTAGCTGTTCTGTTCAACCTTATATAGAAATGCATTTAGCAAACATCTCCTGCTTATTGAAGTACAATAAATATTCTGACTCCATCTCTCAATCACTCACTTATATACAGACCTGATGAACTACCACAGAAACTTTTTAGTCCCTTGCTTTGTGGTTCTTGTGGTCAATGCTTCAAAGAGCTTTTTTACTTATCAAATTAAAGTGTTTTTTTTTAACAGTGTCCTGTCTGGCAATGTGGCAATAAGAATAATTGTCTTGATGCCAAAAAGAGCCCAACAGATTTTACTTTCACAAGTGTAGCAGTATGGCAATTGCCATATTGCTCCACTTGTTTCATGCATATAAATTGCTTTATTATAATTATGCAGGGAGTTTTACTCCAAATTAAAGTGTTTTATCAAATATGGTTGATAATATAATTGTTATTTTTTTCTTCTGATTTTTGTTGGAGTTCCTTTTCCATTTATATTATAAAATGTGCTTCTTTTGGTTTCATTATGCCACTTTGATTTTTGTTCCCTGGTCACATTAAATCAAGTAGAGTTCTAAAGAAATTGCTCACTGTCCAGTGTGGGACTCTACGTAGTACAAGAAGCTGCGGCTCTCATCTTGGGAGCAGATGAGGCGGATCCCGTTCAGAGCAGTGTCATCTCCCCCGTACTGGTTGCTCTCCACCTGTGGAAACAGAAACCAGTTCCCAGAAAGAGGAACAGTTTATCCATGGTATTTGGTCGCAGCTGAAGAAATTATGTTTAGGTCAAAGCAGATTTTGGTTTGAATGAATATTTATGTTGTCTGGACACATTGGTTGTTGGTAAAAGCTGAATTTTTCTTTTTTCTGGAAGAACAAGGATCAATATCTATTATAAAATGCTTGGTTTAGATTAAGCTGGACTTTCATATATTATATTGCCATTTTAATTTAATAATGAAAAAATCTTGTAAACGCTGTTTTGTTACCCTGACACTGAATCCAACAGCAAAAAAGTTGTCAGGACACATCTCTGGCCAGGTCCATTCTCCAAACTTCTCTCCATTGTTCACAGTCAGCACAGATCTGTACTGTCTGCTGTTAAAGGCCTTTCCTGCTCGCTCCAGAAAAACCTTTTCTTCACAGAACCCACAAGAGGCCACGGCCAGCAGGACCATGATGCTGAGCAGACTTGCCATGCCGACAGCAGAGAAGTCTGTGTTTTCACTCTGAAAGGCTAAATAACATAACAGCTAAAGGTTCAGACTGAAAGCTCTTAAAGGTTCCCTGTTGATTCTGGTATCAGCATGAATCATTTACAGAGAGACATTACAGAACAGTGTGGGAATAAACAGCTGGTGGTGAAGAAAGAGAAGACACGGGGACTCTATTATCCACCCTTCAGTTATATTTTACAGCTCAGCAGTGAATCTTAACACCAACAAAGAAACAAGGAAAACCACCTCCAGGGCTCCTTGACTTGCAGGCTGCACAAAACTTTGAGTTAACTTGTGAAACTGAAAATAAGAAAAAGAAATAAAGAATGATATGAAAATATCAAATTACATTTGGTTAGATGTTAAGCATCTGACTAATGAGTTATTCTGCTGCAGGTTTTTTAAAACATGCTCAGATGTTCAAACATTTCAAAGGTTTGGGAAAGGATTCAATCAGATTGCTTCCTTGTTGGATCCTAACAGTACTCTTGGTTTCATTTACATGTTCGTCGTTGAGAACTTTCTTTTTTTAAATGACAAACTGACAACAGGATGGGGCATCAGGGAGCAATATTTTCTAAAGGTCCTCAGCTTCCATCAATTGACTTTCTGAGAAGTTTAAGTCTCCCCTTAATATTGTGTTTGGGAGGAAGTGGCTTCTCTACTACACTGTATGCAGACACACACACCTACTGCTGCTAATGAACAGCTGGCTCTGCACTGGTGGCAGCATGATACTGGAGATGTCCTCAGGAGTAGATTGCACTGATCTTTTTTTTTTTAGCTCCCTGCAAGCTTCTTTACAAGAAACCCTCTCATTTTGTAAATTTTTTAACCTAGAAAATAATCATGGCTACATGCTTTTGTTTGAGGTACCCATTGATGACTCAGGATGCAGACCCAGAATTCAGGCAAAACAGACAGCTAAATACTTAAAGGGGTTTATTTTAATACAAGAGTCGATTTCAGCGACTAGGGCGTCTATGACTGATGCTCTGTTGGTGAGAAACACAGATTAGTGACTGCGATATCAGATGGAGGAGGATTATGTACACAAAAGTCACTAGCCTGGTTTAACAGTTCAGTTCAACATCTAAAGAACGTGGATGGTTCTAGGTGGTCGGCTGAACAGAAGCAGTAGGTGCTGCCAGAGAGTTCCAGACGTGGAAGGCTGCAGAGCTGACAGGAGACCGTAGACAGGCAGGCAAAACTAACAAGACAGGGGGAAGCAGGCTCAGACGTCCAAAAGCAAAAAAGAGGTCAGGATCAGATAATCTCTTTATCAAAAGCTCAAAAATAATCTGCCACTGTTGACTGGGAAACAGGGAGCTTAAATTGGAAACCGGAACAGGTGGATCTGATGAGGAACAGGACATAGCTAGACAAGTGAAGGAAACGAGCAATCAAGCCAGCCATCAGCACTAAAATCATGACAAAACATAATTCTAAGGAACTCTGGAATTTCGTTATCATTCCTCTACAGAAAGTCCAAATCCATTTTAACAGCACACATTTTTACCAGTATGACTTGTAAGTAAATAAGTACATTGATCTTAATTCTAATGTTATTTCAGTCTGCTTCTATAAACTTTAGAATTAAATAAAAAAGAAGTCGAAGAAAACACGCAGGCTGCATCTTTCCCTGAACATCAAGTCGTGCTTAAAAGTTTCCATTCCCTCCCATTAAAGAAAATGATAAAAACACATTAGTAATTCAAAGAACACACAACTAAAAATGTTATGATAAATCAAAATGTACTAAATTATGAGTAAAATGTAGATTGTGATATATATATATATATATATATATATATATTTTAATAATTCTAAAAAATTAACTCTGAGACAAATTAAAGTACCTTGCTCATGAACCTTGAACCACCATACCTGTCAACAGATGCAGAAGTCTGAATGTCCCCTGAACATTACAGAAAACACCTGTTACTCAATAAAATTGTAGATCAGGATCATCTTTAAGTTTGTTTGGTTCTTTTAATATATATATATATATATATATGTATATATATGTAGATAAACTCTACTCTACTGGCATGGTCATCAGGAGGAGTGACTACTGCAGGTTAATAAGTTATTGCAACCTGCTAATTTTCCTTGAAGGCTAATCTTTTTAACCATTATAAATAAACTGAAATTGACTGCATTGCTTCATGTCTATGCTCCGTTTTTGTGCAAAAATACAAGTTGAAACATTCAAAAGCTGGATATGATCCAACATAACCTGCAATCATCTATGCAATGTTTTCATTTAAAGCTTTGTTGACATAAATGATAAAGCAGGAACCATGTCTTGTTCCAGTAAAGTTACCCGCAAAAACATCAGCTTGTCACTTTCTCACAAGCTAGATTATACAATCTGTAGGTCACAGCGAACATTGAGGTGAAGGCTTTTTTATAGATAAAAACAAAAAGCAAGCTTTGCCTATGATTAGTGCATTGTGGAGTTTAAGCTCTTTATTTCTTTGTTAAATTCAATTAAAATTCAATTAATGCAAAAGTTTAGGAATAAAGATTTAACAAATCCAATATATATATATATATATATATATATATATATATATATATTCCATTTCGCTTAATTAGATGTAGAAATAAGTCAATAGAAAGCCTACTAAGGCAGGTTACACGCTGAGGAAGGTTTGATAGGCACCAACAAAGCCTTTGTGTTATATTTCATCAAGATGGTTTTCTGAAAGAAGAGCAGTTTCATGTTAGCGCTGCAAACCATTGAAGAATCCCTAAGGGCAGCATCAATTTCTGAACTGTTCCAATCAGTGATGCTGAGGTTAGCCTCCCAAACAGAAGCTGAAACCTCTGTAAATATCTCCAAGAAACCATAAGGCTGCGATGAAGAAAACCAAATAATCTGCAAAATGCACTTTTATTTCACATACACTTTATCTATAATTATTTATTTTATTTAACAGAAAATTCATTGCATAAAAAAAAAAAAAAAAAATTCCAAATAGCAGATGTGGAGCTGAAGGATCGGGTCGGAGCTTCAATGTTGGTTAGTTGGGTGAAGTAAAGAATCTACTTCCTAGTGTCTGTCCATCTCTGAAATGAAACCAAACAAAGTCAATGAGAACAATGAAAGAACCCTTCAGATCTAAACATCTTAAAATATATCAACCAACAAGCAAACCGATGGTTTGGGGGTTTTCCAATATCTTGTGGCCATTATACAAATTTTTATTTTTATTTATAGTTTTCTTTTTGTTAATAGATTCAACTTTAGATGTTTGACCCAGTAACTTTACATGTAGCTGAGTAAGATTTGACTACGAGTATCAATATATTTACTCTAGTACTGTTGAGTATTCCATCAACCACTGCTCATTTCCCACCTTAGTTCTAAATCTAACCCCCACCCCAAGAAGGGATATTCTCCTCATGGGGAGCTATCATTGGTCACCACAAGTACCTTTAAGTCCCCAAAATGTAGCATATTTATGGGAAATTGACCACGCAATGTTGCAAAAACATGGCCACACATACAAACAGCTACCACTCCCACAAAATTGCTTCTTTGAGTTTATTAAGTTGCTTCGGTCAAGCACAAAACATAGGTACAGACAAACATGGAGGCTGAGTGTCCCCGCTGCTCTGGGACAGGCAGTGGTTCCATCACTTTGACCTAGAAACCGTAACAGGATTCACACCTCAACCTGCAGATATAGCTTCACTTTGGACTGCCTACATCTGTTGTTTGGGCATTGAAGGTGGAAACAAACTTAGGAGTTTCTGTCTGGGATCTGTTGTGTGTCTTTGTTAGATAAAGGTCTCTTTCTAGGGACAGAGCGGGTATAATCCATCTACAGCCGCAGTCTATTCCATGCTATTTGAGATATATGACAAACTGCAGTGACGTGTATGTACTTAGTTGTACAAATTTATAGCATTTTCATGCACCACACATTTCTACTGAGGTCTTACTTGCTGCTGGAGGCGTTCCCCATGTGTTTGATTCTTCCACGCAGAGATCCAGGACTTGTGATTTTGTTTAAGTTGTTTATTTCTGGAGAGGTCAGTGGCTGAAAGAAACGACCTGTAAGGAATCAGATTAGAGCTTCAACTGGATGGTAACAACTAGAGGAAGAAAAAAATAAACTATTAGTGACATGTTAAACCAACTGAACCCAACAAATCAAGTGATCTTACTGGAAGAGGATGTAGATGGGTTTTGGTCCACTTCCATGGTGAGGATTTTTCTCCAGTAATCCTCGGGAAGGGACAGTAGGAAGCAGACAACCTGAGGACATTATCAATCATGTGATCCAGTCTCACTAATGCTACCTTCACAACAAACACCATTTGAGCAGCAAAGAAGTTCCTGCTGCTTCATTTTCTATGCTTGTACTCATTAAGGTCAGATGTGCCTCAAAAGAATCTTCGATGCTCTGGAAGCGTGGCCACTAAAGTGTGTCCAGATGCATTTGATGCTTCTGTTGCTCTTGTGTTCAATGGAAGACAGGGGCTTTGCTATATTTACTGTGATCAGTGGGTAAAAGTATTTTTTATGCTTTTAAATGAGAAAGTCCACCTCAAAACTTCATCTTTGTAGTCTTTTCATCAAGATTATGCCTTAAAATATTATTTCTCTGTCGGAGCCACACAGACCCCAACATCCCAGCGGTGCGCTGCCACTGGGATTCTCTAGCAGCAGCTGCCTCAGGTCACCTCTTGGGGGTTTTCCCCTACTGTTGGTGGCGAATGGAAGCACATGTTAGCATTTTTCATGTATGTAGTAAAAACTGCAGGCAGATATTTTGCAAGGTATTTCAACATTTCAAGTTAATCTAGGCTTTAATAAACAATTTCAGTTGTGTGATCGTAGCTCTCTGCATCTGCCGCACGTCCCAATGCCAGCTTCTAGATCAGCTTCTCTGATTAGTTGTTCTGGTGCGTCGTAGCAGCAAAAGTTAAATTTTTCCAACTACAATGTCTACTGCTTGTAAAGCGCAACTCTCGCCTAAGCTTCTCAGAATCTCGTGAGGCGCAGCTTCAGCTGTTCTGATGCATTAAGATG